TGTTTTTTTGTTTTTTTGTTGTTGTTGCTTTCTTCGCCTCCCAGGGGTTATACAGTGTAATTTTGTGCCTCTCAGACTTCAGCCAAAGACAGGGTTAGGGTTAGGGTGCCCACTTCTGAAGGATAAAGGTTTTCCTAAAAAGAAATACTTAATCCTATCAGGTTAAGTCTGCCACTTTTCAAGATAGCAGTGATAGACAAAGACCCTTTGTGTCTCTGCATATTCTCAGAAAACATATCCCACCATCAGACAGATATCAACACTTGGTGCTAAAAGTGGCACACAGTGAAAATTCTTCCTCTGCTGACGTGGAAAAACCATAGTCAGTCTCTCCACATAGCTAAAGTTCAGTTAACTTAATGGCTAGGTGAGGTTCTTCTCCCACTTTGCCTCTTCCTGTCCTCTTCCTTGTGTATTGTACTCAAAACCACTGAGAAAAACTCTTTTCTGAACCATAGTTGCAGCTACTGAAAAGTGCTCTGGTGATCAGCAGCAAATAACCCATGACAGAATATAGGTGTTAATTGCTCATTATCCGAATCTGACATTAAAAGTTCACATTATGATGTCTATGTCTGTGTAAACTATTCAAATACATTGAACACCTAGAAATTGATATAAAGTTCAAGTTTGGAAATGAGGGAAAACTGAAGATTGATGTATTGCAAATTAATGGTTTTTAGCTTGTTTTAATGAAACAGTCTTCCCAAAACACAAAATCATTCCATTCAAGAATTCAAGATATATGGTATTTGTTTAATGTTCTTGATTGACAGCTAGAAGATAGGAAATGGTTAAAAGATACTGTGAGAATTAGAAGGTTAGTTGGTAAACTAGGCAATGCTTTTGCCATCTATACCTATTCAGGCTTTTAGAGGCTTAGTAGTGCCATTTTTTGTCAGTATTACCTGTGTCATAGCAGGTGTAGAGTTGTCAAGTTGGTTAAGCAACTGAGGGTTACTCCTTCCTAAACTAAATTAATAACTAAAGAAATAATAAGTTCTTGACTTTTTTTTTTTTTTTTTTTTTTTGCATAGAGAAAGAAATGTGAGAGAGTGTAGCCTTATAAATGCATTTTAATGTATTCTCTTGTATTCATTCATCCTCTTATACAGGCTGGTTGTCTTATGCAGAGTTTATTCTATATATGTTGAGTCCATGATAGAGCTGAAGCTGCAGGCTTTCCTTTACTGCAGGCTGCTGATATCCCCTAAATGCAGGACATTTGAGGTACTCTAGAGCAGAAAAGCCTTATCTTTGCTATGGCATATTGAGCTAATGCTCCAAGGAGGAAATTGAAAATTTGTAAGTGAATGCAGTCCACACCACTTGGAAGTTACCAAAGTGATATTGAGTTCTAGAAAGTATCTCTAAAGTCCTCCAGCAGTCCTTCAAAAATACTTCTACTTATATTTCTATTTATTTTAATAACCTGAAACAGCAAAATATATCAATAGTTACACGTTAGAAGTTACTGTAAGGATGTGGCTGAAAAGTATTTTGTGCTAAGTTTAATACCTGTGTGAAACTCCAAGTGAGTAACTTTAGGTTTTGACCAAAACCTGTCAGCCCTAAGCCCAAGGTGTACAGAGCATCACATAGATCCAGGTTCTCATGTCCACTAGTTGGTGTTGCGCAACAGAAAAGTGAATAAAATTAATTCTGTCTTAAGGAAAGACAGTTGGCCAACCCATAGGTGTGAATTTCCATAGGGAGAAAGCAAATCTTAATAAAAAAATCATCCAGTACTGTATTTGCAGGGCTAAAGTTGTTACAAAAGAACACAGATAAAAAAATAAAAAGGAGATCTTTGGCATAAAGGGGAAAAAACCCAGCAAAATACCCATTTGATTTAAGGAGTAATCATAAATGCAGAACCAGGACTGAGGAAGAACAGGGGAAAATTAGACTTTTGCACTAATACTATCTCTACCTCTGGCTAATTTCCAGGGATTTCTAGATCCTGGTGGGATTTGTGTATTTTGAATCAGTCAAATAGATTTCTCTTCCCTTTTCCAAATACCTGTCCACTCTGACCTTGAACCCGTTTAATGCTTTGAGCCAGCAGCAGCATTTAGATTCCATGGCTGTAGTGTCAGCTGGGGGAGGAACCACATCAGGATCAAGTTAATTGAAAACTTTAAAGGTAATATTTTGTGATCCACACACATTTATCTAATTTTTCAAAATAGTTTAAGATGTCATCTGAGTCAATGGGTCTTAGATGCTTCAAATGTTTTTGAAAACATGAAAACATGACCACAGGGATATTTGCAATAGTGAGAGGCCTAAATCTCTTTAAAAACCTGACCCAGAGGAACCTAAATCTGAGAACCCCCTTGGAAATGTACCAGAGACCTTTGCAGGTGCGAAGAGATTGAAATTTTGATTTAAAATTTATAGAGAGGACATAACCACAAAATATATTGCTTAAGTCCAAAATTATTTTGCAGTCACAATTCACCTTCATTTAAGTTGACATTATTTCAGCATCACAGTTACACTGAAGTAACTTGTGAGAAAGGCCTCAGAAACATTGCATTCAGTTGCAACAGGTGCGCTCTTCCAGACAAAACTAATTTTTTAAAAAAATAGGACGTTTCAAAAGAAGATGATTAACGTTCAAAACCAGTTGAGAGTACTCTCAATTGGTTTTGAAAATCTGTTTCCCCTGCTTCTGCTGCTTTGAGATTTTTGTTTGCGTGTCTTGCTAGGAGGAAAAAATAATGTTGCAATTGTGGTTGCTCTAGAAATAAAATAATGAAACTGCAAACTGGACAGTACTAAGTTGTGTTAAGGAGAGAGAAACAATTAGAAGATCCTGATTTCTTTAATAAATCCTGGGTCTATTTATAATATATTGAATTAGAATGCTGTTATAGTGGAATTCAAAACCTCTTGGTATATTTCCTACATATTCCCAGTGCTTCAGGATTTATTGTGAATCATTGTAACACTGTGCTTAAAGTTTTTCTAAATCCATGTCTTTGAATATTGGATTATATTAAGACTTTTGAGCAGGCAGTGTTTATGTTTTCTTTCTGAGTGATCCTGTTTCAGTGGTAGAATACCTCTGAAAGCACAAAAAACCCCCATGATACCATTCTGGGCTGGGACTGTGAAGAACTTAATTACCAAAGACTCTGTAGCAAAGGGCTGTGTTAAATGTTTTGGTTTGTGATCAGCTAGGTATACAAATAAATTGAATTAAGGAAAGTTCTGACTGCACTTTTAGTCGCTTCTGAGAATCCTCTGGCTAAACACACTCCTGCTTGTGGTTAGAGTGTAATTATTCCAGAGAACTCCTGGAATATGTGTGGAACTGCAGATGCAGGCCACCCCCTTTGTACTCTGGTTAATGTCATTTAGAAGGTTTTTCTCTAGTTAGAAATCTTGTCTAAAAATTTTGTGGTGTATTTACAGGAGCAAAACAAGCTGGTCATAGAACTCTAATTTGCTCTGGATTGCATTATTTTAATTATTTATTTATGAAATAAACCCTCAAGGAACAAGAGCATAGTTTACTTGTTTGGTTTTTGTTTCTCATGCCCATTCAGCGATGTTGTGGTTATTTCAAAAGGCATATGATAATTCTTATTTGTAGAATTAATATGCTCTGCTGAATTTTTCTTACAGATTGTGAGGTTGTGTGCAGCAGATAAGTAGCACTTTCAATTTATAACTCTTTGATTATGAACTAAATTTAAAGTAATATTCAGATTTACAAGCCTAAAGCTGCCACCTAATGCCATTATTAATGAACATATCAATGGACTTCTTTCAAAGCCCACTGAAATGAGTGTAAATCCTTTAACTCACTTCTCTGGGCACATTCTAAATGTATAAAATTTTGTTGCTTTTCCATACATATCAAAGGCTTTTGACTAAATTGTCTCTCCTCAGATGAGGTAGGAAGTTTCTTCTTTACAGCTTCTGTGATAGACAGGCTATGCTAATGTCCTTGTTTTGCAATAAACTTTGCTTCTTCATTACTTATCACCAGAGGCAATAAAAATCTTCAGAGGCAAATATAAGTTTTTCATTGATATACTTGTTTGTATTTGTAAGACATGAAAGATGAACATGTAATTAAGATCAAAATTAAAATTTATATTTAAAGTGTATAAATCTTGCAGTACTAATACTCCTCATATTTATATTTAGACATTTCTGAGTCGTGTAGCTAATAATTACTAACTAAGAACTCGTGGAAGTAACTTATTTAACAAGATATAAAAAGTAACTGCAAGACATCAGAAGTCAGAGTACATTTCACGGGCACGTCTCCTCTCCTGTGTATATTGTGCATTCTGGATGCAGCAGAAGAAATGCATTTGGGTTACAATTTTCAGTACAGGAAAAGAGGCAAGGTTCCTGGAGTGTTCTGGGGTGTTATCCTCAGTGTTATCAGTATGGCAAATGAGCCCAAATAATTGAATCCTAACATGTAAATCAATTAGCTTTTTATTAGAAAAGCTGCAGTGGCACCTCTGGAAAAGATTTCTACTCCTCTTGCACCCACAGAGAAGAGAACTAATTGCTGTCCTTGTTCTCCTGGCCCTTCTTGGCACACAGCTGGGTCAGCTCCACTGTGTTGTGCTCCTCAAAACCCGATTAGCCCCCAGGAAGACACAGTGAGGAGATGTGGGTTGTTTTTTTCCCACTTGATTTTCTCATGTCCATCTGCAGAACTATACACAAAAGCTGCATGAGGTTCAACTGCTCCTTTCTCTGCTCCTTTTTCTTCACCCATCACCCTGTGGATGTTCTTGTGGACATTAAAGTGTAAAGTGTTCCTCTCTGTTTAAAGAGAAGAATCACATTATTTCTGCAAATACTGAGGCAAAGAGCAGGAAAGAAAAGTTAAGCCCTCCTTTTCTGTAGCTTGCTCTTAAAAATTGAAAACTTAATTGAAATATATAATCCTTTTTTTTTTACCTTTCATTATTAATCCAGTTTAGACAATGGAGAAGACTGAAAAAAAAAACCCAAACAAAAGCTTCTTTTACATCATGAACCTTTTTTAATGGAAGTCAAATGATCAGCTACAGAAATCACAAGTAACTCTAGCTCCTGTTAGATAAGGAAATTAATGTCATCTAATTCATATGAACTGTACTCATCAAATGAGACATTAAGAGAACTTCCTCTAAACTCAGCTTCCTTCCAGCCACTTTTATGCATGTACATATACAATTCTCTTTCCAGAATAAGATTAGACAGCACAGATATTCACTTTATCCTTGTGATTGAAGATACAAGTTTTAATTGGAGAGCTCTTCCTTCTAAATAAGTGGTTTTCTGCACTTGCATGGGAAGAAATACTAGTTTTAAAAGAATGAAAAATTGTATAGATTTTGAAATTCTATCATATTTACAAAATGAAAAAAATAAGATTAATAGCACTGAGAAATCACTTGTTAACGTTTAAATTGAATATGGGAAAAAATTGCTTTTATGCAGCTGTGTGTTGTTGGTAAAGAACAATCAATGAAATGGAGCAATTTCAAAATCAGTCCTGAATTCTCCATCTAAATTTTTTTCTTCAGCAAACTCCCAATCATTTCATGTTACTTGATAAGATCCTACTTACTCCAGACTCTCATAAATTGTGACTTTCAGCACTGTAATTCCAAAGAATACACTACCTATGATTGTATATAAGCAAAAGAAAATCAAGAAAATCTCATTGAACATCTAAAAGAGGATGCTACAAAAATTATCTTACCACACATTTTATTGTAGTGTTTTATATGAATATTAGAGATGGGTTAGCAGTCATAGTCAATCTTCCCCATCAAGGCACAGCTGCAAATATTAGGAAAAATTTTCTTTTCTTCTTTTCTGGAAAGGAAATGTAGGGATTTTCTATTGAATTCAAACATCTAAAAAATTGCTTAATTTAATTAGGATGCAGTGTGACTACTAGTGCAGCAGAACTTCATTCAGCAAATATTAGGAATCAGAAGAGAAAATGGAAAAAATTATCCAGAAAACAAAATAATGTTTAGGAAAAAATGCTGTTGTGTTGGAGTTCCTTGGAAGCTGTTGTAAAAGGTTGGGCAGTATTTCTCTGTGCAAGCACTTCACTCTCAGTTTTATATCTGTAGCTTCACATTAAACTACAAACAGGTCACGGAGAGAGTTTAATAAGAAAGTGCATTTAAAATGTCTAATACTGAGTACACAGTTTTTTACGACAAATGATTCTGTCTGGAAAAAGCAGTCTCAGACCTAAACCTGGGTTCTGCCTGATACAGTGAGTTTTCTAGAAACTGAGGTGAGGTTTGTTTGACTTCTGTTTGATGAGTCTGCTATTTTTCCTTCTATAATTAAAAAAAATAGGCAAAACTAATGAAAGTATCCCTGTGGTTTCGGTCAGGTTCAGAGATAAAATAATAAGGAAGGTGAACAACTGGCTTCACTCAGTGTTTGTGGGACCATGGGGATCAGCTCTCATGCCATTGTAAATACAGGGTGTTTCTGCTGAAGGTTTTGATCTACATGTACGTGTAAATAATCTACAAGAGAGAATTAGACCTGCTGAATTGATAATTCCAGTGTAATGAAGAAGCAACAACCATTATATTTACTATGGGACTTGATTTTCTCTATATTTAATATTTGTGTCCCGGTATCAGAAGGAAAAGCTTCAGATATGTCCATTTCTCTGTGAGACTTCCCCTGTTTTGCTACGTGACAACTTAAATCCTTGTAGGAATATTGGGTTGAAGTTAGTTTTATAGCTCTTGCAAATGAGAAAACTAAAGGATTTAACTTTTAAACCATGTTTATGACTCTGGTTTTCTGGAAGAAGACATTTTGATCTGCTAGTTTTGCTTATGCGTAATGTATGTTCTGATATGGAAAAAACAAAACTAATCTTGTGCTTTTTTCACTTACCCAATTAATGTCCCCAAGAAAAGCTGGTAAATACCATCCACATGGGATGTTTGCACAGAGATGGTTCTGATGCTGGAAGTTTATTCCTATTATGACATTTGAGTATTTCTGCTATTCTTGTTAGCACAGCTCCTGATATCTCAGTGTGGATTCTTCTACAGAGGAGGAACAAGTGTATAAGTAAATGATAGTTAGATTTTTTTGTTTGTTTGTTTGTTTTTTATCTTTTTTTTTCCACTAGTGGCCCACAAGTATAGTTTTTAATCTTTGCTGTTGTTATCCTCAGCATAACCTCCTCCTCCCTTTCCCCCTCTATGATCTAGGGAAGTAATGTCATCTGTATTTAAATGGGAAAATCTGAAACTGAAGGGTAAGGGTATTTTTTCAGCTTTCAAGTCCTGAATGAATGCCTTAAATGGATAACTCATCTTTATTTTCATTTGTATTTTTTGTTACTTTGAAAGCATTGGAATCAAGTATTAGAATCAGTAATAATATTAATAATGTGAACTGTACTCTCTAACACCACCACGTTAATTCTATTTTGATATGCTATGCCCTGGGTTACAGTCTACTCAGTTAACAAAACAAAATAGCTCATTTTTCTGTTTATCTCATATTTTAGTATTTTTATCACAGATTAATCACAGCCTGTGGCCTCTGCTATATCCTTATATTCTAACTCAACAGGAACAGGTTGGCTATGAGTTTTTAGTTGAAATGTATAATCTGCCTTTTTCTGTTTATATCCGGCAACATCATACTTTTCCTAGATAGACTGCACAGTTCATATTGTGTATATATGAAGCTTTTCTAAACCTACTAAAGCACTAAACCATTTACAAAAAAATCTCTACTTGCTGCTGAAAAACCCTAAAAATAATACATTCAAAAACTCATTATCTTCCCTCCATGTGCACACATATGAATTAACACTTAGTGTGTACTTTTAATATAATTTAGAGTATAAATTTACAATTTCTTCTGGATTTGAGAGAAATTCTAAGAAATGAGCCAAAGTGGGTTTTATTTATATTTTTAATTTAATTTTTAAAATGGAAGAAAATAGTAAAATTAAATTGTATCTGTGAGATAGTAACAAAATCTCTAAACATATTTGAAGTCCTCTAAGGATTATGTCAGAGAGAGTTGTCCTTTTCATGTGTGTGAAAGGAAGTAAGGGGTCCGAGAGACTTGTTGGAATTCTGCTTTTTGCGGGCAGGGCACTGGTTTGGAGGAGGGGGAGGTCGAAGTTCTGGCTAACATCACATTCTTCCCTGCATTCCTGACGTGGATTACATCTTAGGACTCAACTGTAGATTCACCACACTGCTAAAAATGGTGCAAAGTTTCATTGTGCTGATCCATGAGCTGAGCAGGAACTTGGTCCAAAGCTTTGCCTGGCACCCTGCTTTGACAGCTACTGGGGGCTGTTGGAGAGAAACCTGGGAGCAGTTTCTGTTGGTCCAGTCACTGCAGGGTTTTAATTTTGAGTGTATTGGTTTACTTTGATTGGAACTGCTGGAAAAGCAGTCAAGGAAGAAAACCTCTGAAGGTAAGGTATTGCTCAGGAAACATTTGAGAATTGCTAAGAAACCACGCACAAGCAAAAAGTCCAGTGAATGTGTGAGAAAAGAAAAAAAAAATATTTGGAGGAGCAAAGCTAAGGTACAATATTTGCTGGACATATTATGGCAGGTAAACCTGCCCCAGGTGATGGCAAATCTTTAGGGGAAATATTGAGCTGGATTACTATAGACATTCTGGTGACTTGTTCTTAATTCAGAATAAATGGTTCTGTGATGTTTGAAGGAATAAATCCATCAAATTATTTTGAGGAGGGAAAGAATAACAGAGCAGGAAGCTTTAGGTGGTTGGATGGGGCTCAGTTGAACGTGAACACTCCAGTGTGCCCAGCTCAGTGTCAGGCACAGATCTGGAGCTCTGGAATGGGTGACATGTGACAAAGAGGGGTCAGCATGGCCCTGCTGAGTTGGGCTCATGTTCTCTCAGCTATTCGGCTGTTTTTGGCTAATCCAAGAAAGGCAGGACCATTATAAGTACAGGATTGTTTTAAAAGTCTGCTGTTTTGTAAATCATAGGACTTTCAAATTGCTCCCACCTAAGAAATTGCTGCAATGTGTGAGTTTTGGTATATATAGAATTAGGAGGAAAATTGTGGATTATCAGTAAAGCATTTTCATCCTTCTCATAAAGTAAAACTAATTTAAACTCTTTTTTGTTTTTTAAAATCTGACATTTCTCTACAGATTTTTTTCTGTAGTTCCTAATATTAATTCCCATTACCGTCTGTGGACATATGGTAATAAAATTTCCTTGCTCAAAGCTGAAAATGCAGAATCATTTTGAGACATAAGGGAAGGGAGGGATCTTACACCTTCCCAAGAGCAGCAATCCGGTGTGTTTTGCATGCTGGACATGTTTGCTGTGCTGCTTTCTGCACTGGGATGCTACAAAGCACAATGGGAGCATTTATAAAACTTTTTATTGACTAAGAACGGGACAGTAGCATATGGGAACACCAACAATTGCTAACTGATCATGAAATAAAGAAATTCCAGTATTCTAGTGTTATAAAAAGAAAGGGGGGGAAAAAAAGTCATTCAGAACTTAGTCATATTGGTTCAGCTGTTGTAACCAAAGACTGATAAGATAATAGAGGTCTTTGTGGCTGTTTTCTACTGAAATGCTTTATCTTTATGATACACTTGGGGCCCTTTAGAGTGGAAGCTTTTTAAACTGCTGCTGGAGTTAGAACTCAAATTAGATGCTGTTGCAATGGCAAGGGGGCTCCTTAGTCAGGCAGCCCTCACAAAGTGACTTTTATCTCTGAGGCCCTTCCATTAGATTGTTACTTTCTTCTGTTTTTCCTGTTTATTTTTGTTGACTTTTGCTGCCCTACTTTGTGGCATTTAGAAGGTGACCCAATCAAGAAAGGGTAAATGCTAAATGCTGGACAGAGCCTGTGAAGTGGAAACATCACAGCCCATCTGATGTGTGCTGCAGGCTGCAGTGTTAGACAGAACGGTTTAACCAGGTTATCTCTGGGAAGCTAAGATCAAATACACTTTCTTTTATGTCTAGCATTGTGTTCTTGCTTTCTTTTCAATGTCCATAAAATAATAAAATCCCCTTCAATCTAATGGAGGGATTGAGTCACAAAGGCTTTTTTTTTAAGGGAAAAAAGCTGAAATTGCTTAACTTGATTCAGAATCATTTTTGATTGCTGGTTGAACTGTTTTGGCTGATGATAGTTTGGGGCTGCAGTTATGTGATTTAAAGCCCTACTTAGTTTCTGGCAAAGTCCACACTTCTTTCTTGCATTGCTGCCTCCTGATTTCATGAAAGTCACACAATGTGTTTGTTCTGTAAACGTAACAGGAGTAATCATTTGTGATTTATTAATTTGTATTTCCTGTAAGCGTATGGAGCAAAAGTTAGTTTAGATGCAGTGCATAAACAAGGATGATATTTGTCATGTTTTACACTAATCACAGAATTCAAGAGAACCAAAAATGCTTTGCAGCTGTGTAGAGATTCCATGCAAGGATCTCAAAGCAATTCAGAAACATTAACTAACCAGGCATAAAAACCTCTGATTGGTAGTGCTTTACTCTGTCTACATGTTGGGACACTAAGACACATTCAAGAACCCACAGTAATTTTGTGTCACAGCTAGGAACCCTACTTTAGCAAGCTATGGATCGTGTCTATAAATTTTATTGTTAACTTATGGCTCCAGTACTTTGTCTTTTATTCACTTGATAGAAGTTGTGGTTTTACCTCGTTTTCTTTTCCTGAGAGTCAGAGAGATTAGTTTAAATTATACTATGTAAGCCTAGAAGTCTATTTTTTGTTATGCCTGTTTCTTTTTTTCCCTTACCAGCAGTTATTCCTCTGCTTCTACCTCAGGACAGCTTGCCCCAAGGACATTAAGAAATTTAACACTGAGAAGCCTGCAGTGTTTGCTTACATGCAGCTACATTTGTATATAGACTGAATAGGTTGTAAAAGATAACAGGAGTTTTAAAAGGTGGTAAACCAGTGGTTGATATAGGAACTTTAATTATATTGTATAGCTATACTTTCAGGATACTAGTTTTTAAATTTTTTGTGTGTGTGTGTGTTTTTATTTTTTTCTGCAATACTTAAAGAAATCTAAATAGATAAAATTCAGGATGGGGTTTGTGATTTTTATTAAATGCAGTGTAAGATACATGATGCTCTTTCTGTTACTTAATGTACCAGAAATCATGTAGTATTCTGGTTTTAGTAGATAGTTTTGCCACAAGCAGAATTCTTTCTAAATGTAATTTTAGACCACAAGTTAAACTCTTCTCTCTTTTTCAGCAGATTTATAGCTACTTTTTATTTTCTGTCTCCTGATTAGATTGACCTATGACCAGAATTTCAAAAAGTCGAGTTCTCTTTGATGCCTTAGTTCTCTTCAATCTGAATATTTTATCTCAATTTTTGCTGAAATTCAAAATAAAGGGTAAAACAATAAGCACACTGGGAAAAATTAAAATATTACTACAACCAGATTATTATCACAAAGGTAGGGATATATCCAAAGTATTCTCAGAAATAATAACATTTTTTTCTGAACTTTTGATGAGACTGACACATCTCCATTTTAAAAAGAAGTCCTTAAACACTATCAGCTTCCCACCAACACTCAAAATTTTAAATACTGCTGGTAAAGGGAGTCAATGGATCAAATTCAGTATATCTGTAGTCACTGAAATAAAGGCCCCTAAGAAAAATGTGTCAATTTTAAAGGTCTTTCCTAACTGAAGACCATTTTGTGATAGAGCCAAAGGTTAATAAAATCAGTAGTGAATGTAGCAATTTTACAGATAAGCTATTCACAACAAGTGTAGTTACTTGAATAAAAAGCTAATTCAGTTCTAAAATGCCACATGCAGTAGCAGTGAATAGCTGCTTTTAGGTGCTTTCTGGAGGAGGATAAAATACAGAATCACAGCACTCTTCTTTTCCAGCATCCCTGGCTGCCTGTAAATTGCTGTGAATGGGACTGTGGGCTGACAGGCTCTATTAAGACAAACTGCCTTTCTCATCGGAGAGATAAAATAAATCAGGTGTTTAGTCAAATTAAAATACTTCAGATGGAGCAGGCCCTGGGGAGCACTGATCCACCTGACAAATCTGAGAGAAACTCAAGACAGATGTGTTTTGGGGATAAGGAAGACCCCATGGAAAAAAAATGCACTGCTGTCTTTGGAGTAAGAGAATGGGATTAGAACAGAGAGAGAGCTGTGGTATATAATATTTTATGGAAGCTGGCATATTTACTGTTCATTTTTTACTAAGCTTTTTGTTTTATCTGTTTTTATGGCAAATACATTTTACAGATAGCTGTATTTTTATTTTATTTATGGATATTTTCAGTCAGCAGCAGAAGTTTATTTACTGGTAATGAGTTTAGGAATCTCATTGCTCGCTACAGTAAGTGGATGCAAAACAGATGATGATGGCACACAGCTACTGATGACCTCTCCTGTCCCAGCCAGATCAGCTCAATCTGGTCTGCATTCTGAGCAAGTTGGTTTTTATTGGTATTTAAACTGTAAAATAATGGTTGGGATTTTCCACTCTAAAATTAAATTATGCCTCCCCCCCCACCCCACACACAGACACAGAGTTCATACAACAACATTCTCATCTTATGCTTGTTCTCGGTTAGGTGTCCTGCAGCTTCATGGAGGTCTCGTGATTTTCCAGGAGCACAGTGTACATTTTGTGGTCATCAGTTCTATTCTGTTGCTGGATTACATAACAGGGTAAAAATTAAAGAGCAGAGTACTTTAAATGGGGTCATTTATTTCAGATGTGTTTCTCGGGGGAGGGAAAAGGAAAGAAAAACAATTGCTGTGGATTCCTGAATAAGAACAGTTACTTCTGCCTGCTATTGTAAAAAAGTCAGAGAGGGAAAGAAAAAAGGCAAAAAAAGAAAGAAAGAAAGACAGACAGACTATAAATTTGTGGCAGCTATATCAAATGATTCTAAGAAATCCTAACAAAACAACAACATTTTGTAGTCTTTGCAGGCACTCTTTGTGGTGGTTTCCTACTCATGCTATGGAGCAAGTGCAAGCTATACAGGCCAATATGGAAATGGAGTGGGAGATTAATATCTGCTTTGGGTGTGTAAAATATTTTACAACTGTAAGCTCAGGGGCTTGCATATGATGCCAAAGCTGCTTGACAGATGTGAAAGTCTCAAGCTGTTGTTTCCCAGGTGGCAGTGGAGGACAATAAGTACCATTTGAGGCAGCAGGTTCCTTCCCACTGGCTTTCTAAAATCGGTGGGTGGAGTGGTTGATCTCTTCTGGTCACAATGGGCAAGGGAGTTTTCCTTTGGCAGAAGAGTCTTTTACCTATGGAAATGAATTCAAAACCACCTCAATGACCTTTGAACCATGCTGAAAAATCTGCAAGGCCTAATAACACAGTTTAGGAGGGTTATGGTAGAGGTCTATTGTGGAGGTGCAGAGAATTGAACAGCTGTCAGCATGGAGCTCAGTGCATGCTGAAGGATCCTGGCAAGGCAGCACTTCCAGGGCAGGCACTTTCCTGGCCACACAGCTGCCTAAGCTTACTTTCAAAAATTATTTTCTATTTGTTTTGGACTTGTAGCAGCTTTTTGCACAGAACTCTTCTATTGCTTCAGTCACTTGTATCACACTAAGGCTTTGCAATGAATTGGTCTAGGTAGGAGGGTCCTTCAGTTTCAACTTCATGCATGCATTGTTCCTCTTGTGACAAAGGAAATCACTATCAAGCCTTTCTAAAATTTCAACTGCAACAGAATTTACACATTTTTCTTCTTCTGGAGGCCTATGTCACATGTATACTGTCTATACATTTGGCATTAGAGGGTAGGGAAATATCAGCTTATTGAAAACTCATTTAAAACTAAGATACTTAATAGTGAATAAGAAATTGAATCTTTTTCAGTACTTTGTATTGCTAAATGCAATTAATAAATGTACACAAAATCTACATTTACATTTTTGTTTCTCAAACTTTGAGAAACATCTTTGTTTTTTTCAGAGTTTGTTTAGAGTGAATGACTTAAGCTATACAGTTTCTTTATTTCCATACAAAGCAATTTCAGATAGAGGTTTTCTTTTAAGCTGCTTTTGCAAATGAAATTCTGTGTAAGAATCATACTGGCTTCATAATGTAAGCAGTGGATAATGGGTTTGTCACCTTCCTGGCAGGAACCTGTTTTTGTCTTCCTTCTCCTTATGAAATCTGTCAGCCCTTTTTTCTTTTCTTCTTTACAAGATATCCATCTTATTCCTGGGAAGAAGCTGGAGTCATAATTTTGTGACTGTTTCTCCATTCCCTCACAGGTCCTGTTGCTCACACATTTTCTTCCTCTTTAAAAGTCCAGTGACTTCTTTATCACAGTCCTCTATTGTGAACAGAGGAAAGGAAGTTTCTGAATACTCTCTTTTGTGCTACTTCTCATATCATTGTGGCAGACTACAGACCTGAATAATTCTTGGTTTTCTTCTCTGATTTTCAGTTCTACTTTACAACATTAAATGGCTTTATTTATCCCAATTCCAACTCTAAACTTCTTTCAGATTAACATCCAATATTCTTGGACTTCTATCTTGATGTATTTATATTATCTCTTATATATCTATGATTCTGAGGTGCTCACAAAAGGAAATGTATTGTATGGCTCAAATATAGGAACTGACATTGCTGTTTATGACAGGGTAATATGTTCCTATATGAGGTGGGATATTTTCAGATTGATTTGGAAAAGGACCCTGTACTCTCCACTTATGAGACCCATGCAATTTACCCATAAACAGACCATTAAGCATCATTAGTGCAAAGAATAAATGTACCGTAGTTTCATATTAATTAAGTGCTCTCTGTAGAGTAAACTTTGAAAGTTAAATGAAAATTCTTAAGCCATTTTCTCAGGTTAGCCATTTCTCTTGGGGACAAGTAAAGCTCATTTTTAATACAAATTCCACAACCATGGATTACATTTACCTAAATGACCTACAAGATATATGGGTATTTTGGAGAAATTATCAATAAATTCTTAAACTGCTTCTTCCACCAAACAGCATCTTTTAAATTCTGTTTGAGCATTTGTACCTACTTGGAGTGAAAAAATGAGAAAATATATAAACTGAGGTAAAATTATGTCTGATAAACTATGAATGTATTTATCACAGTGGGCAGATTTAGATGGAGAAGATCCAAGGATTCATACAGAATAAATCCCTGCTAGAAAAAAGGAAATATTCTATATCTTTTCTGCTCCCATTTCTGTTGCATCCTCCCCTGCTTGGAGCACAGCAAATCTACGTGTAACATTCTTTTGAGATTTGTTAGTAGAAAATATATCCAAGCTGCTATTTGAAAAAAACACATTGGTGATGCAGCCATTTTTTTTTTTGGAGGGGTAAATATTGCTTTGTAAATATTGTCTACTTGATATTTACAGTCCGTCTTTCCCCCACGTTCAGGTACCCCAGAAAGCCTGGCAGAAAAAGAGCGGCAGCTCTCGACCATGATCACCCAGCTGATCAGCTTACGGGAGCAGCTCCTGGCTGCCCACGACGAGCAGAAAAAGCTGGCAGCCTCACAAATCGAAAAACAACGGCAGCAAATGGACCTTGCTCGCCAACAGCAAGAGCAGGTGAGGCTCCAAGAAGGAAACCTGTGAAAATGGTTCACGCGGAATGCTTGTCACAAACTCCGCTCTGCCTGCTGTTGTTTCCTTTTGTGGTTTGTTTTTTTTAAATATCTGCAGAAGTTAGACGTTTTTCCAGAAAGAGGGAATATTATAGGACCCTGAAAAAAAAAAAAGGAGGAGTGGATGAAAGATTTCACACTTCTCCTTGCACTGAGATGCAATTTTGGGAGTTATGAACAAGCCAGACTATGACCATTATTTAACACTTTCTCTTTCTGAAATTAAAATAATTAAGCAAAAGCCCTTAAGCATACTGAAACCTTCAAATACCTTGCACAAGTAAGGTTTGATTTGTTTGTTGAGGGTGTGAACAGTTTTTTTTCTTGTTTTGTCTTTTTTTTTTTCTTGATTATCTGTTTGGTTTAAAGATGCATTTGTCCAATGAGCTGTCCTCTTCTCATCGAACAAAAGTGCAACAACAGTGATCCCATGTACTAGTCCCCTAGGCATTAGATCCAACAGATCCAAATTAATGTGTGGTTTTTAGGAATCTGACATTATTACTAGAATTATCTTTTCAGTTAAATATATTTTATGGGATATATACAGCAAGGTATGCTCTGTTGATTTTAATGAGTTGTGACGTCTGGTATTTTATGTGCTTGGGTATTTGCCCACATGTAGGAATATGGACTCATCCCCTAATGGAAAATAACATAAAGGAACACTGTAAAAAATCAGAAGTTAGAATGTCATTTAGCCATCTAGAGATGACACAGTAATTAACTATTGACACTTGTGAATAAGCTAGCACAAATTAATCTTGACACATTTGCAGACGAGTGATATCTTACAGTGAACACTTTGTAATTATATTTCAAAATGAAAATTAAATGACACTTAAAACTAGGTTGTCATGCTCAATGAAGCGAGCATGTAGCTCAACCAATAGGCAAATAAAATTCAGAATTTGAGCCACATGGTGCTTGTGCACCCTACTTTACTGTGTCAAGCCTATACATCAAGACGATGCTATGGTAATTGCATTGCAGGGTCTTGGGTACATTTTCTATCACAGAACTGCTCCAGCGAAGAGGAACCTTGGAGATTAGATGCTCCATGGTATATATTTCTTGTTTTCATCAGGAAATGCCTATTCAATTGGTGCTACATGGTGCATGCAGGTACAAAAAGCTGTTCACAAGCTGGCAGCACCCTGGCAGATCCGTTCCTTTGCACATGTAAACAAAAGCCTGCTCCTTGTCTTGGCTGTGGTTTACTGTGTTAGGCTGCAGCCAGGTCACCAGCAGCTCCAAACAATACTGGATGTGGGGTACTGTGTACCTGTGAAAGAATGATACAGCACTGAGAGAGAGTGGCCCACAATGCAGCTCCATGCTCTGTGTCCTTTCACTGTGAAGCTCCACACTGCAACCAACTTTTTCCTTTGCTGAGACCTTCAACAGGAGGGGCAATGTGGATAAAAACATGACAGGCCTTATCTTTAGTTACAAGCAGTGTACTTCTAAGACGGAGTCACACAACTGGTGTGTTGTTCACTAACAGTGGCAACTCCAGCTCCCACAGAGGTTATAAATATTCCATATAGCACTGTGCCCATTAGGGTTGTTTCACCAAGCACAGGCACACTGCTGGTCACTGTGCTGACAACAGCTACCTGAGCTTCTAGGACCTGCCCTGGGCTACCTGGGCACAGGAATGCCAGCTCTGATTCCCTTTTCCACTCACACACGAGGTCTGCTCATTCAGCCCTCACTCACTGTATTTTATTGACTTGCCTGGGAGGTTCATCCAGATCTGTTTGAACACCAGGATCCTGAAAGGGGTTTGAGCTCCATTACAAGCATTGCTGTAGTGATCTGTGAGAGTTGCTTGACTCCATCTTCTTGTGATCCTTTGCCTTCACCCAGCCCCAGAATCACCTCGACCTTAATTTGCCTCCCTGAGGCCATATGTAATACTTAAAAATATATATGAATTTTGTGTTGCTTTCTCTTACAAAAGTGAATTTTAACTGAAGAAACTTAGAGTTATTTCCATGTGACAGTGAGAGATTAAGGAAATGACAGCCTTGGTCTCCCTGTATGCACAATTACAAGCTGTTAATATGTAACTGCAAATTCCTTCTGAGTTAATCTGAACAGTTTTCACTAAAACTATGTGATTGTTTATTTCCAAACCAACCTTTATACATTCCTGTCATTTTTTTATCATAAAAACATTTTACTTAGCTTTCTCTGTTTATAACAGAATAAGTGTGCTCAGAAGATGTTAGGGAAGGAGACCAAGAGGGTTTTTGCCAAAAGAGAAACAGTGGATTTGAGTGACCAAAATACCTTTGTCACCACCTTCTTGCTGTTTTATGTGATTCCTCTGCTCTAGATAAATATTTATAGGAGGGGAAATTATACTTAAGAAATGAAGGTAGCAGAAGTGCTGAGGCTGGGATTTCCAGGAAACACAAATCTTGTTCTCATTTCAGTCTGCTGCACTGTTGCCCTTCTAAAGCAGAAGTCCAGTTGTTCCCCCAGCTCCCTGTGGCTTCTCCTCGGTGGCTGCCTTCCACATCACCCATGGCAGGGAGCAGCTCTGTGGTCTGAGGGCAGGATCCTATTTCCCTTCTGCTCCAGCATGCTGATTTTGTGGGAATCAGGGAGGTAGATGGAGCATCTGTAGCAAATTCTC